AAGGAGATGAAGGGTGCCATTTACTATTTTCTTCAATGTTGTGCTTTTCGGAATTGGTTGTTCATTCCAGTCACAACAAAATGATCCATCGGCTAATATTTGACGTAGGAAAAAAAAGGTTAAAAAGGGAAATCATCCAAAGCAGTCTGAGCCCACTTACACAGCTGTAACATATTATAATTTATTTAAACTCAATCAATACTTAATCTGGAATTTAAATTCTGCTAGATATCTGCGGCATGGCTAAGAGCAGCTGATGCCAGAGAATAAAATTTTCTTCAGGCTGTGATTGTGATGAATTTATAATATGCTCTAAAAGTGATGCATTGACCTAAATTCACAAAAGCACTGCTACTTATATTTACCATTATGAAAGGTGTCCTTGCCACAATTCTGCACTTGTAAATCGCTTTATTAAAAGGATGATGGGTTAGATTGGGACTAATGGGGGAGGAAGGAAGGAGCCTCCCAGTCTTTGCATGGTCTGCATAAGGGCTGCCTAGGATCCTGACCTTGTGCCTGGAGGAGGACAGGGATGATGCCATATTGTTCCCCATCTGGAGAGCAACCTCCTGGAAAGGGGGTGGGGGCAGATTGGAGGCAGAATCATATCTCCAATCCCTTCCACCCCTCCCCAGCCAGCTGCTGTGTAGCGGGGGAGTATACTGCACCTTTCAGAAAGTATTGTCTATGTTCACGCTTAACACAGGCCTAGTTCCTTTTCATTGTAATTCTTTTATTGTGTTTTCAGTTGAGATATCCATACAACAGCATCTACAGACCTACACATTTATTAAACCAGTTATGTGGGCAGGTTTACTGTAGAATTCACCCCTTTGTATTTGGTTATTTAAAATCCCCTGAGCCCTGCTATTGCAGGAGAGGCATATGAGCAGTTCCTATTGAAGTCAAGGGGAATTGCATATGCAAAACTCCTGGGATGGTCAGTGCCCTCGAGTTTCTAACTTTTTGGCAAGCCTCAGCACACTCAAAGGACTTTTCATAGGAAAGGATTGCCATCTATACAGGAGGATGCTGTACGTCATCTGCCTTGTCAATGACACGAGTCCTGTTCTGAGCCTTATTTGTTACCTTGACTACTTGTGGTCATACTTGATTTTTTGCATCACAGTTCTACATGTTTGGTAGATCCACGATCCTCAGAGAGTTCATTTAAGTAGATTGGGTGATAGGAAGGTGAGGGAGGTAGATAGCACTAAATTTTGATGACCCTTCCTTTTTTATTTTTTCACATGAGATGATGCCTTGAAGGTAAAAAGGGAAATATGTGAATTCTGCTCTCCTGACTATGCTTGAATGGTCTCAAGTATTCTTTTTCATGAGTGCTTAATATGCAGTATTTTGACTTGGGCAGTTATTTATTCTCCATTCCTCGCTCTAATGCTTTTGGGGAATGGGGACTTAAAAAGGAGGGTGTGTTTCAGGATTTAAATGCTCAATGCAGTTCTGGGGCCAGATCTTGCTGCCAGTTAGTTATAACTGACCAGAACAGTCAGTAGGAAATACATATACTGTTAGTTATAACTGGCAGTAGGATCTGGCCCCAAGACTTTATTCTACCTTAATTAGATCTTATTCTTAAAAAACTATGCATTTCCTACTGACTGTTCTGGTCAGGCATACTTTTCACGGACAGCCCAATGGATGACAGCATCTTACAACCATTGAGGGGCCTAGTCAATCTGAACTTCCCAGCAAGCACAACAGTTCATTTCAACTCTGAAATGTATTTAAAAATGTGATGCTATTTAACAAAAACAGAGATCTGAACTGTAAGTTCTTACCTACTGGACCACTAACTGGTTGGATATAGAGATGGGCTGGAGCTGCAAAGTCCAGAGCCAGATCTGAATTTCTTTAAAGCTTGGTGGCAAGAGAGCGCTTGGCTCTAGCCTTCAGTTCAGCTCCTCATAAAGATAGAGCCCTACAGAGATCTTCAAAGCTAGTTCCTCAAAGTTCAGGGATTTGGTTTTAGGCCCACCTCTCTTGTAATATATTCACATGCTGTAATGTTAATAAAAGTAGATGGATATGTTCTAACCACTCCAAATTTGCTCCAGGTGTAAGTCCAATGACTATACATCATGGAGTGAGACCAGGCATGAATTTGGGTCACAAACTTTAATGATTATTGGTGAAATGACATGGCCTGGACATATGCTGCCTAAAAATGCCTCAGATTAATAACCCTAAAATTAAACAGCCTTTGAAATTATTAAAGAAACTAGGAAGAAAATCAGAGGTTCATATCAAGGCAATTACACCTTGCTCATCATCATGAGTCATGTTATTACATCTATTCAATCTACGACAACACATACATACAACGTATCATTGAAAAGTTAGTTGTTAATTTTTTGTGTAATTTCATTGAAGTGCAATAGATTTCTTACATTATGAAAAACACTCACATTTATTATAATTACTTTTAAATATATATTAGCATGCAGAGGCAGACCAGGCGAGGATCCCATTGTTCTAGGGGCTGTACAAACACATAGAAAATGACTGCGTATGCCTAAAGCTGTGAGTCTTTCACGGAGGTCACGGAAGTCACGGATTCCATGACTTTCCGGGACCTCCATGACTTCTCCAGTGGCCGATGCAGCTGACCCCAGGGCCGCCTGAGCAGCTGGGGCGGCCCTGGGGCCAGTCTCACCAGCCACTGATCAGGCGGCCCCAGGGCCAACTTCACCGGCTGCTGCTCGAGTGGCCCCAGGCAGCTGGTCCCAGGTGCTGCCCTAGAGCAGCATTCTGGGAACAACAGCGACACCCCGGGCACACACACACCTGGAGCAGCAGCGGCAGTGCCACAGGCCACCCCCCGCAGCGGCGGTGGCATGCAAGAAACACACACACACACCCTGCAAGAGTAGCAGCAGGGTCCACTGGAGCACCTCCCTCCCCAACCTCCGCCAGCAGAGTACCTGCAGCACCCTGGAGCACCTAAGATTTAGTCAGGTGTATTTGTAGTACAAGTCATGGACCAGTCACGGGCCGGTGCATTTTTGTTTATTGCCCGTGACCGGTCCATGACTTGTACTAAAACTACCCATGACTAAATCGTAGCTTTACCTATGCCCCAGAAAACTTACCATTGAGAAGATGTAACAGATGTAAGACATCAAAAAGCTAACCAGGGTTGGGGGAGACTGGATGAAAAAGAAATAATAGGGAGTGAACCATTCTTAGCCAAGCAGGAGCAGTAAGTGTAACTTAACTGTTACCTCACCATTATCAGATGCTAGTTTTCTTTCTGCATTACAGAAAGGGTAAGTTTTATGGAAGTGATTTTGAAGGAGGAGGTGGTTTTTTCCGCCCCACATTCACTAAGGTTTCACCAAGCAGGTTTGCTGGCACAAACTCCTTTTTGACTATGTGAAAGCTCACAACTTTGTACCATAATTTGTTTTCCTTTCCCACAGGGTCGTTAAAAACAAACATTAAAGAAAAAAACAGTGTTAGTTTCAGTTCACGTGTGAAACTTTTGCACAACAACAGTGGTTTCTTGTGGTCAGTAAGACTAAGTGTTCTGAGCATTCCAGAAAGTATATAAATAGACTGGTACTCTTGCTAAAGTTATGAAGTCTCTTTATTATATTTTTTTTCACTCCTCAGGCTGTCTTTAGCTAGGCAAAAATCAAGCAGAGTAGAATGTTTGAAAATTTTGTCTATCATTTTCCACTTTATATGGCTTATCCTTGATTAACTTTTTTGAAATAACTGTTAAAGTAAATGGATGTTAAATTACTTCTTAAAGCACAGGCTAGTATTATAAAAAAATGAAAATTTGTCATTTGGAGTCTCCCACACCCCAGGCTGGTGCTGATCTGTTTCTCCAGGCTGGGTAGAAACTGATCACAGTGCTTATAAAACAGAGTCTGCAGACCAATCCATGATGTGAAAGTGGTAGTTACATAAAGAAGGTCCCATATCCTCCTCTCCCAATCCAGCAAAGTTTGTAATGATGGCCAGAAATTCCTGAAAAAAGTTGGCCTTAGGCTGAAGGGGTAGGTAAATGGCTATGCATGATCAAGAGAAAGCTCTTTCAAGCCAAAAACATGAACCCAAATTAACCTTGGATACTACAAAGTAGGGTGACCAGACAGCAAGTGTGAAAAATCGGGACAGGGAGTGGGGGGTAATAGGAACCTATATGTGAAAAATCGGGACAGGGAGTGGGGGGTAATAGGAACCTATATAAGAAAAAGACCCAAAAATCGGGACTGTCCCTATAAAATCGGGACATCTGGTCACCCTACTACAAAGTAGCCGTTCTCATACTTTGATCTATATTTGAATCTGAACATGTGTTAATAAGGCACACACATTGGCCATCAAGGTTGTCTTCTGCTGAACAAGAGTACACATAGCATTTGTGACTGTAAAAATGTACTTCAATAGCTGGGAAGAAAGTGGAGATTCATTAGAAGACATTTAGCAGCTGTGTTTATACTGGCAGGCAATTTGAATATTAGGTGGCAGGACTGAGAACTGCAGATGCACAATATTGTTTAGACATTGGGCACTTACAGTCCATTTCCAGGGCAACATGCTATTTTATATTTCGTATGGTGTTATTAATCACATTTCATGATGTATCTCATTCACTATTTCAACTTGTTCTCATAGACTCATTCATTTTGTAGCCTTGTTTATTTAGTAGCTATTGTACTCTGTTTCAACAAATACCATGTCTACTACAGATAATAGCTTCTTCTGCTTTAAGGGGGAAAATTAGGATGGCCTGTGTATTGAGACTTTCAGTAATACCAAAATGTACACTGCATTAGAAGGGTACACTACATCAGCTTGCAGTTGGCCAAAAAAAGGCATCCGTATTGCTATTGACTATTTAGAAATGAAATTCATTTCCTGGGAGAACACACAAGGATTTTCATCATGACCAACCAAAGAAAAACAACTGTGCTTTCCGCTGCCCTTTAAATTCTGCAGTTTCTCAATGGGCTTTCTTTCAGTTTTGCAGATGAGCCCCTGAAGCTGCAGTAGTGACTCTCGGCCCATTTGGGAGAAATATGCTGAGAGAGACAATGTGACTGACTACCTGACGAATCTCTTTCCTTGGTGAGTGACAAACCTGGGGAGTCTCGGGCCCCACACCCGCCCTTTCAATGGGCGTTCTGTGAGCAGAAGAGTTACAGGATTTTATTTTCATTGTTCCTGTGGGTTTGGCTTTGGATTAAATATTCAGGGGCATTTATGGCACTTAATTACTGGCTGGGTTGGGAGCCATGCAGAGCCGTATTGCCCCAGCAGGAGCCCCACAATACATGAGGGAACATTCTTGATGTACCAACCTTTAGGAGGAGGATGCATAACCTGTTACTGGGATAGCAAAGAGGAGATGGGGCAGTGCTATGTCTCTGCTTTCTCCCCATTCCTCTTCCACCCTTGTAGGGTGGCTTGTGCCCAAAGAGTGTGTCGGGGGGGGGAGGTGCTCAGCAGAGTGCTGGGCTGACACCTGTGACAGGCCCTGCATGGAAAGTGCAAATGAATAAATGTTCTTCCATCCTCCCAGCAGTGGACCCTGCCTTGTGTATTCTGTCATGGGCTAGCCCAAATCTGCACTTCCTCTTTGTTAGTTTTCCTTGCCAGAAACCATTGAAGAAGAGTTTTATTGACCTCTAAAAAGAAGTGTAACCAAGGAGTTGACTGTGCAGTGAATTAATAACTCTGTATGAGGGATGACTTATCCACATGGAGTGATCAGCAGATTGCTTTAGGAAACCACCAGCCTGTCTGGTGCCCCTTTCCATGACTTGCTTATAATTCTTCAGTGTTTATTTGTAGCTCTTTTTTTGGTATGGCTTAGTGGAAAGCAGATAGAAAATCCAGCTCTGTTTATGTTATATGGCTGGGGCACACCTAAAGGAATCTGTTTATTTTAACCTTTTTATTTGAGGAGTTGCCTGGTAGTGACCACTGTAGTGAAGGATGCAACCCAGTTTGTTATACATTCCTGTTCTCCTGTATTTGCATAATGTGCTGAGCTCTTGTGAAATCCTGCCATTTACCTTGGTCTAACTGGGATCTGAGTTGGTTTGAAACTCTGACCCCAGTTATGGGCACTCAGCTCTTTTGAGAATATGGCCCTTAATCTCAGAGAGATGCCTACTGAGTCTGCTCAGAAATTTTGCTATTTGTGTGTGTGGTGGTGGGGTGTGCGTGTTGTTGTTAAGAAATGCTGAGAGATTAAGTGACATGCACAAGGTCAGACAGGAGGCTGGTGGCAGGAAAGTAACCCAGATCTCCAGTGTCTGACACCAGTGCCTTAAAACAAGACCATCCTTTCTATCCAGAAAAGGGAGACAGTCACTATCACAAAAACGTTACGGACCACACGATTTTTAACAGCTCTCTAGAATTTTTGCTTTTTCCTGAATTATTTTGCAAATACCGAGTTTTTACTTCAATTGAGGTTCTGTTCTATTGACCAGATACAGCTATTGCAATGTAAATAGATGAACTGCTGCTGATTGATCCAGCCCTGTGAAAACTGCCTCCAGAGCAGCAGCACAGTTCAGAAATACTATCAACATCCACACACACTCCAGGCTAGTCACTTAAAAGTGGTATGAATTCTGCCTCTACCCTTTCTATCTCAGTGATTCGTTAAATTCATAGCCTAATTGGGACTATTTAAATGCTTGATATACTTTTTTCTTTTTTTTTTAAATAAAGCTAGGAAATGACTAGGTAAATATATTTGATTTTAGCCAAAAGGCCAAGAAACCAACAAATACAAAAGTTAAGATTCCTAGTAGAAGATAAAGTTGTCTCTAGTGCACAGTCTATATATTTTGTGATAGCAACAAGATGAAGCTATGCATTTAACCAGAAAAGAAGGAATAGAAAATATGGCATATATGCAATGTATTTGAGTTAATATTGCCATAAGAACCTAAAGTTATTCATTTCATGCATACTTGTTTTTCTCATTTTAACTGTGAAATTGTAATGTGCCATTAACCATAGTTGTTTTCATTTAATTAAGACATAATGTATGGGCTAGGCCACCAGGACGGGGTTTTCTGTGCCTGGAACTGTTTGGAGAAGAGGGCATAGCGAGGGAGCACGAAGGACTGATCCAGTGCTTCAATCTAGAGCAACGTCAGGGCTGGTCTAACTTGCACTGGCTGGTAATGGCCCCCAAGGGGCTGTTGCAACAGTTGCAGGTCAGCTGGATATGGCAGCTCTCTAGCCATGTCCCTTATGATGAGAGCCAATATAGGGTAGTGTAGGAGCCACTATGCCACCTGTGGACTCCCCCATGCTGGGAGAATCTCCAGTAGGCAATAAAGATAACTTTTCTTTCTACTTAGCAGGAATTGAAAAAGCAGTCAAAGTAGGGGAACCGACTCTGGTTCTATAGCTCTTGTTTCATCGATGTTACCTCGTGGACTGACTGACCCCCCTCCTCCAGCCCACTAGCACAAAATACATAAAAGCTAGAGAAAATAGAAGTCCTGGCACTTCTTCCCTACTCCAACCATGAAGACATGCAGCACAGAGGGGGCAAGAGGAGGCGGAGCTATGGCTCTGGCCCCTTTTACATCACACTGAGGATTAGGACTGGGGCAGTGGGCGTAAATATGCTCCTTGCTGAGGTCTTCCCCCCCCCATGGCAGTGAGCTGCCTGAGCTCCCTCAGGAAGGCATGACTCCCCTCTGCTCTGAAGGCTTTTATGTGCCTAAATGACACAAATGTATAACACAGATTCTATATTTAACCAAAATCAGAGTGTATCCTTTGACAGACTCCAGCCTTGTAATGAGATGTGAAATAAAATCTACATGCTCATTACTTCATAATATAATGCAAATATGCTCTTTGATATTTTTCATCTGGAGTTCATAAAGTGATATCAATACCAGGTCATAAATCTACTGTACTCATCACCCAATTCTGCCACAGTTACTCACACGAGAAACACCTTATTGTACCAATAGCCCCACTCATTGAACATTACTAATGGTGGCAGAGCCCAGCCCTAGGTTTTTTTACCAGCCAAACCCTTAAATGTCTAAGACATTTAAGAGGGGGATGCTTTCACACATACCATTTTGTAATTGGCTTCTGGTGTCGTGACCTAATTAGCTGTAATTCCAGGTCATTGTTAGAGTATGGTGTTATTTCACACAGTGCAACATCCATGACAGAATAGGAAATTTATGTCAAGGCAGACACACAAAGTATTAAAAAGAACTACAAATACTCTTCCTGAATGACTGCTAACATAACCCTACTATATTTCTTAGAATCCAAAACTCTAACACACAACAAACAAATACAGAGAGACACTGTAGACTCTTCCCTGAGGCAGAGAGGCACAATTCAACCCATTTTGCTCCAGGTTGGCTCTTTTGAAGACCGACTGTGCAGGACCCAGATTGCACACTTCACTCAGAGTCCCAAAGCCTGCAAACAGGACCAGGGGGCCCCTTAAGATTTAAAATGATAGCCCATAATTTTCAATACACCACAGAAATAATGCTTGTTTTACAGAACATTTTAGGAAAATATTAATAGTTTTAATAGAAATTGTCTCAAAAAGTTAAATTTGGACCTGTAGTTTGAAACTGCTAATTCACTTTGCTTCCATGGAAAAGCTCTGCTGTCCAGTGGGGAAGAAGGAAGAAATCCTGTTAGGAAGAAATATGTAGCACTACCCATGGTGCCAGTTAGTGCACTGTACAGAGGATGTATACACCGTCCCCTATGTAGGGTTTGGTCCATATATGTGCTGAGTGCAGACCCACAGACCTTGTTACCATTTGTGGGCGCACAAACCCATTTCTCACCCCATTCCCTTGTGGAATGCCTGCTACAGTAACACTTCATTTGTGACATCTAGATTCCTGCATGAGTGAGGATGGTCTTGTGATCAAGGCACTGGACTTGGACTCTCTATATATCTAGGTTCAATTCCTATCTCTACCACAGATGCCTTGTGTTGCTTTAGGAAAACCATTTAGTTTATCTTTGCATCAGTTCCCCATCTATAAAATGGGGGTTGCAATATTTCTCTTCTTCGACTCTTTGCCTATTTAGATTATAAGCTCTTCTGGGCAGGGACAGTCCCTTACCATATATACAGATATGCAGTGCCTAGCTGAGTGGAGCCCCAGTCTTGATTGAGACCTCTAGGCACTGCCTAATACAAATAAGAATGATGTTTGGAATCCCTGTTGTTTAGCTGCTGGTATAACTGTACATTTTTCTGCTTTAGGGGCTTGCTCCCCCTGAAGCCAAAGATGAATCAACCTACATAATATATTAAGCCTGATTATAGTCTGTACTGAAACACATAGAATCCCTTTCCTTAACCCATGTGGCCAGATCCTTGTTTCTGCTGTAACCCTGGAAAAGAAAATAGCACCCAGGGATTGTTTTTTTGCTACTAGACCATGAGTAATGGAGACAAAGTCTCATCTTGAATAATATATAGAATGAAATATAATATTAATCCTGTTGTAATATTTAATTCCAGCAACAAACCCAGAAGCAGATATTAATGTATGAAATTTAATGAACTGGTCTAAACTATTTTTTATTAAACATGCTAGCAGTGTAAAATATTAAAATTTAAATTTACCAAACATTTTTAAAAAGTAATGAGCTATTTCTGGATGCTACATTGTTCTGTGGGGAGCAGTCATGCACTTTGCATTCGTATTGTCTTCACTTACTTTCCACAGGTTTGAAGTTTTCTGAAGTCATGCGGTTATTTTTTGAAAAGGGGTTAAAGGCTTTATGTTATGCATTCAGCTACTCTGATAGGAAGAGTTAATTAAGCAACTTTTACAAGGACCTTTTCCTGTTGGTTTCTTATTTATTGATATGTTTTCCTCCTAGAAATGAAATGATATAGCATTTTCAGTTGTTGCTATAACTAAACCAAAGAAACTTCAAAGACTCTGGATGCATCTAAACATGTTTGATGCAAATATTCTAAATGAAACCCAAAAGTTAGAATGGGAAATGTGGAGCTGGTAGTCCCCCCCCCCCACCCCACTTTATGGTTTTAAGCACCTAGAAGTTTCCCCTCCCATTTAGAAAATCTG